GGCACGGGGTTAGAAATGATGATGAAATGTGATGGACATTATTATCCAAAGTACATGTATGAAGACATAAATGGTGTGAATATACTTTGTTACAACCAGAGATATGAAAAATTGTGCTCTATTGTGTAATATAAATTGTAATGCATTCTGCTGTCATATATAACAGATTAGAATTAAAAAATTAAAGAAAAAAGAAAGTAACCTGAGCTAATGTAATGTTAACTTCTGCTTTTTGCACTATACTATTTCTTTGTTCTTGCTTAAGCTACCTTCCTTACAAAACCCCACAGTTTCGCCCCTACCAGCGGTGCACCTTTCTACTGTAGAAGGGATGCGGCCCAATTCATAAACTGCTAATAAAAGCCAATTTTATTTTTATTGCTGAAACTTTGTCCCCCACCCATGTGTAAATGTAAATATTGAAGGGGAATTAACAATGGATGAGGAAGTTAGTATTTTAACTAGAATTCAGTACATACAGCTAGGACAATGAACAAGGAAACATAAAATGTTTTAATGGCCTTGCTACTCAGTTTATGGCTATAAAAACCTACTTTGCATCATTTTTGATGGGAACATGTGCTTTAAAGTTAACCGGATTCATTTTTAATCCAATACACGTCTCCAGAACCTTTAAATGTTATATATTGCAGTGGATGGGTGCAAGGTAAATAGTCAAAATTTGGATTTTCTTAAGGATTCTTATGAAGATTGTGCATTAAAAAAAGCACTTTGTTGTCAACATCTCTGCCAAAAGTCTCTGATCAGCATTCAAGTCCTATTTATATTACTCAGGTTAGTCTTCCATCTCCTCTAAAAGAAGTGGAGAAGCAGCTCCAGGCTTCCTTCCATGGACAGGCAGGTTTACATGATGGTGGTATCATTCCCACTTCAAATGAACATGAATCAAGTAACAACTGGGGATGAAAGAGGTAAGGAAAAATAGTTCCTTTTTTTCCAGAGGAATAAATTCTGATAATATAAGCTATACAATTGATTTCAGTTTGGGTTGAAATTAAGATGCTGTAGTATATTGCATCTGTTTTGACAAGATGAAATGATA